GGAGTGGTGTCGCCCTAGCCGCCTGTATCCTGTGGAAGGGACCCATGCTGGAGCAGGGGAAGAGACTGAGGAGGAAGAAGCAGCAGAGACAACATGTGATAAACAGACCATAACTCCCACTCCCTGTCCCGCTCTAAGGGAGAAAGTAGAGAAACCAGGAGTGAAGTTGTGCCCAGGAAGAAGAGAGGGGTGGGGGTAAGGTGTTTAAAGATTTGGTTTTATTTATTATCCTACTTTGATTTGATTGGCAATAAATTAAATTAATTTCCCCGAGATGGGTCTGTTTTGCCTTTGACAGTAATTGCTGAGTGATCTCCCTGTCCTCATCTCAACTCATGAGCCTTTAGTTATATTTTTCTCTCCCCCATTCAGTTGAAGAGGGGAATGACACAGCAGCTTGGTGGGCACCTGGCATCCAGCCAAGGTCAAACCCACCATCATACATTTGCAGAGGCCTAGAATAACTTCCCAGCATTAAAGAACTTCAAGAAAGTTCTATAAGGCTTTTTATGTTCAAGTACAAAGGGTCACATATTTCACCCACTTTTGGTTATTCAGAAAAGGAGGAAACCATTTGTCAAAAACTAGAAGCAAACTTATTGTTTCTTTAAAAAGAAACAACAAAAATCTCTAACCTAAGAACAAAACAGTTACACAAAAATTCCAGCTTAAGAACATGAGTACAGTAGTCAGAAGACTACTTCTAATATTCATGATTTCATTGCTTGAGTTTATTATAATTATCATCAGCCCTAATTCATCACATTTCATCAACATGATACATTTAAAGCTGCAGGAATTTTCTCCCTCTACTAGTTAATTACTTCCCACTATCTATAAAATTACCATGCTGAGATGTTTTACCTGTTCAAACAGCAAAACAAGATGATACTCTTTCAAGCCATGTTTTGAGAATTATAGGAATTTTGCATGCACCATCTCTATCAATATTTTAAAGTGTCAGTAGACCCCTTGTGCCATACCTCATGCAAAACTGAAGATTTCTCAAATGTACAACTGCTGCAAAATGCTGAACAAGGAACAAAGAATTGACATGCTCCTTGAGAAAACGAATCACTGAATTACACTATCATAGTAAGAATTTCTCTATGGATATACAGCACATCTTTATACATGACTTAGGTTAATAATGTCCTCATTGGAAAATTTCTAATCTCATAAAAAGACTAGTCAATATTCCATAAAGAACTCCATTTCTGCTAACAGATAAAATCCCAGTGCTTACCAGGTTCAACAACACTACTTATTGAAGAATATTTGATTTTTATTCACCCGGCCTAGTTAAAGTTTATAAAGGAACTCTACAATATCTGTCTGCAATTACATATAAAAAAACCCCAAAACCTAACTGACACTATCACATGACAGTTTGACAACAGCAAGTAAGGGAGACAAATCAGAGACAGACTAAGGTGGTTTATCTTGTCTTTTCTGATGATTTAGCAAAGACTTTCAACCTATGTGGAAAAAGCTGTAGCAACCTTCCTCCCAGAGTCTCTTCAGAAAGTGCCATTCATAAAACACATGCTCAGGATTTCCTATATTCCTCTACTGTTCTACTCTAATTCCAATTCTGAAGCAGGTATTTACCTTAAATTAAGGAAATACTTAAAGGTTGGTTTGTGCCTTTTTCCATATGTCTAAGAGACTAGTTGGTTTTCTTCTCTGCAGATTTGCCCATGGAGTAACAGGCTTAGGATTCAAGAGAAGGTATGAGATGTAGGATCCATCCTTGCTTACCTTCCTATGTAAAAAGATGTTTCGTTTGATGCTGGTTTGCAAACATGAGCTTACTTTATTACTGCATACTATTAAGCATCAGCAAAATAGCCCCAGCAAGCAGGCACACAGCTTATCGCTACCCCTGTAATCCTCTCTATACTCTTAGGAATGAAAGGTCAAAAAGCACATGTAAATTCATAACAGTTAAAAAAAAACAAACAAAAAAAATTACAAGGAACATGGTTCACCATATACTACTTCTCTAATAAAAAGTAATACTGGGGGGGTGGGGGGGATGACACCCACACCCACACCCAAAACAACCACAAAAAAAAAAAAAAAAAAAAAAAAAAGAGTCCTGCAGCTCCTGACAAAAACGGAGCGTTGTGCAAAAATATCCAAGGGAGTTTTCCAGCAAGACTGGAAGCTTCTACACAATTGTAAAACAGCTACACAAATTAAAACTGGAACTACACGGAAGAAACTTTTGAATCAATGTAAGCAAAGAAACATGATAGCATTACTAATTCTCAATCAGTGGATTTAACAAAGACGAAAACAAACGTTATCAGGTATCAGTGAACGGAGTTTCACCAGCTACACACATTGCCGGCTGATAGCCAGCAGAACTGACCGACGCTCAGCTGGAGTAAAGCCAGGAGCTGGGCACATCTCCTGGCTGCCGGGTTTGTGTTTTAAGTCACAAGAACATTGTAAGCGGTGCAACATTCCTCGAGCTGGATTTTGAGAAGGAGAGACACTACACGGGTCTTGAAGACACTCCGTCCATGCAAAATGACTAAGGTAGTCGTTTGGAATAAGTTTTCACCCAGACGTTAGGATTACTCACATATGTATGCCACTTACATATCTATCAAATATTACTGATTATTCAGGTGATTTTTCAAGGGGTTTCTACACTTAGACAAACCTGTGAAGCATGAACATTTTGTAACATATCTCAAAGTGTAATGAGAAAAGTTACTACTTAAAGGTGAAATTCTCTTAGTTTATAACTATTGCTTGTGAAGCGGGAAAAACTCTTGCTCTGTTCCACTTCCTGTATTGGTTTTCTTTTGGAACAAAAGAGGTGTATTTCAGGCTGAAAAACTATATTTGCTGAAGAGACACA